TGTATACGAAATTTAAGAAATATTGATATTATATTAGTAGTGGGTAAAAAGTATGGATAAAAAACATTTTTTCCCTTGTGAGTGTATTAATGTAAAAAATAGTGGCAATTGTGTAATAAAAATGAAAAAAAATAGGGGTAGTTTTATGGTGATATAGTTATTTATGAAAATAAGACTATTGTTTTGGGACGGAAAAAATGGTAAACAAGACATATTGGGACGAAATGAGTAATACATGACTTTAGGGTCTTTTTGTTGCATTTTGGAAGGAGTAGTTGGAATTTTGATTTTAGTGTTGAGAAATAAAATGTTTTGTTGTAAGTTGAAATGATATATAATACTCTCTCCATCCAGTCAGAAAGTATACATATTTCTATTTTGGGACGTCCAATTACAAAGTAATCATTTCATTAAATACCCCGTTTTTTCCACAAATACCCCTACTTTACATCACATCATTACTTTTATACCAAAAAAGTAAGGGCAAAAATGTCATTTTACTACTTTTACCTACCCACTATAATTAAAATACTATTATTCTTTAATCTCCGCGCCAAAAATAATTGTATACTTTTAGCTTGGACGGAGGGAGTATATAAATGATTAAAAATAATAATTTGAATATTTTAAAATCTAAACTTCAATAAAATAGGTTAATAAAAATGTATTTAATACAACTAAACAAAAAAAAAAAAGTCTATATTTATAACCAATCCAAAAAATCGATTCAGATCTTATATGATAGCACCCAATTTTTACGATTCGGCGGGATCAATCTATATTGATTGACCGCCTCCAGTAGATTCACTCTATTACATAAGTGGATTCCCATTTCAATTGAAAAAGCAAATAACGTTTTTACATAATCTTCTTCTGTCCCAATAAATGATTCTTCGAAATAATGAGTCACCATTGATATCGACACATCTATATATAATCAATATAAATTATTTTACAAAAGATAGAAGTTTTAAATAAATATACATACATATTCATTAAGTAGAGATAAAAAATAGAATATTACAAGTAGGTATCATTCACCTAATTATACATTCATACTTTCTAAATAAGATACATGTTTGTTTGGCTATATTTTGGTCTTTTGATAGAAAAAATTTGTTTGATGGAATATAAATAAATATTTAACATAAAAAATATTATCCATTCCGTCCCAATTAATTTGTCTCATTTAACTTAGACACTGAGTTTTAGGTATTATCTAATTAGTAAATAATTTAAAAAATATATTAGTAAAAATAATTATAGATTACTAAATAGTTTAATTAAAATAAAAATTTTTTTATGAATTTAAAAATATGATTAAAGTATATAATCATATTTAAAAAAAATGACAAATTATATTAAACAGACGAAAATAGAAATAATAGAGAAATTAAATGGAATAGAGAGAGTATTATTTTAGATATATAATAATAATAAAAAAATGTTGAAACCACACCCAAACAAACACAATATGTTTATTATACTCCCTCCATCCCAATACAATAGTTTTGTTTATCATTTTTGTTCGTCCCAAAACAATAGTCTTGTTTTTCATAAATAATCATATCATCATAAAATTATTCATATTTTTTCATTTTTATTACACAATTGTCACTATTTTTTACACTAATACACTAACAAGGGCAAAAAAAAAAAAAAATTTATCCATATTTTTTACCAATTACCAATATAATATTAATATTTTTTAAATTTCGTGCTCAATCCAATTAAGACTAACGATGTAATGTGGTATCCTTCCACGATTTGTGTAACTTTTTAAAAGGTTAAATAAAAAAAAATATTTTTAAAAAAAATTAAATTATCTTGATAAATATATTGTGACAAGATATAAATATTCTTGCGATAGTTAATCAATTATACATAATGTATTATTTGATAATTTCATGGTCATATTTATGAGCAATAAATTGATAGTATAAATATATATTTTGTTGACGTGTGTTTGTTTTTGTTTTTATTTTCAATAAAAAGAAATAGTAATATTCACTTTGTACTGTTTTTTTTTTTTTTTTTTAAATATAGTATTTTTTATATAATATCACATCAAAATATTATTTAAATTAAAATTAAAAATCAAAATCAAATAATATTTGACCAAATTTACGTTAGTTCAAAATCTTCTTTTCTATAAAGTTTTCTTCATCTCTATTGTTTTTGTTGGTTAGGTTTCCAATCTTTTTTTGTTTCTTTGTTAGCTTGCTCAAACAAAGAAGTATGCCTACGAACCAACTTGTTTGTTTGGTTTTGGTTTGCATTTGAAATTTGATTTAAATAAAATTTAATATGATATTTTAAAAATACTACTATGTCCGTCCGGTTTTAAAAGTTTCATTTACTGTTTGCGTGTTGATATTTGAATATTAATTATTATATCAGAACGTAATACAAATTAAGAAAAAATATTTTTGCAAAAATACTTCAATTAGTGTGTCACTGTACTAATAGAATGACATTTATACAAAAAATAAAAAAATTAAAAATTATACAAATATAAAAATATTTTTAATATTAAATATAATAAATGTAACAATCTTTTCCACGCTATCAAACCATCGTCCCTCACGGAACCAATTACACCATTTCTTCATTTTTCTGAAACTAGTATTACATAAATTTTTCTATTAAAAATTACTCCCTTCTTCCCATACAAGATTTTTACCATTTTTGTCTGTTTCAAAACAATAATCTTAATTCCATAAATAATCATATCACTATAAAACTACCCTTACTTTTTGTTTATTATTACACAATTGCCACTACTTTTTACACTAATAGACTCACAAGGGCAAAAAAATCTTTTACATGTACTTTTTACCTAATACCAATATAATATTAATATTTTTTAAATCTCGTGTCAAACACGACTCAGACTATAGTTCTGAAACGGAAGAAGTATTATATATTTCAGCCGTCCATAAAAAAACATGCTCATTAATTTATTTTATAAAAATAAGCTTACTTTTGGTGACTAAAGAGAGTAAAACTTATTTTCATTTATTAACTTTTAGTGTTTCATGAAAATTACAAATAAGCATATTGCTTATTTTTTCGGTCGGCACATTATAAATAAATAGTCATCACATAGTTTCGACTAATACCGAACATAACACATAATATATGTTACATTAATTGAAATTATGTATTGCCAATTATCTATATAGAGTGTGTTGTATAAATATATTTTATATGTTAGATAGTTATAGTATGTGTTTTGTTCACAAATATTGCGTATTGTCAGGTATATTTATATTATATTAATACTCGATCCACTAAATTTATTTAATTACTAATTTTGGTAAAATTAATAAATCAATATTTAACTATTACTCTTTATTTAACGTTTATTAACAATAAATACCTTCAATTATATATATATATATATATATTTTTACTTTTTATTATATTTTAATAAAAAATTTATTTTTCTTAATCACTATGTCAAATTTCGAATAGGCTAATGTTATTGGACAGAGTGAATATAAATTTTGTGTTGTTTATTGTTATATCATCATATGCTATCAGTATTTCGCTAAATTTACAAATTTAGCACAGTAACAACAATTTACTTATATATATGTCTCGGTCTCATTTTTATCATTTTTGCCTGTCCCATTTCAAAATATCATTTTTTTAAGTAAAAGTTATCATACATTAATATCAAAATACTATTAACTTTTATTTAAATTACAAATATACCATTATATGTTTACTTTTAACATAAAGTCAAACGGCAAAAATGTCAAATTTTTTTACACACTTCCACTAACTAATAAAATACTAGTATTATTTTTAATCTACTACAAAATTCCAAATTGCTCATTTCAAAAGAGACTGGGGGAGTATATGATACAAACACATTAATATTAGAGTAGCAATGGTCAATCCTTCAAAACACTTCGATGTGTTGGCATGTCTATGGATTCCATTAACTTTTATACTTGATACAAATTCTTTATACCAGAACATGCATAATGATTGTATTTTTATCTTTGAGTCTCTTCAAGCCGATATGTTGGCATGTCTATGGATTCCACTAACTTTTATACTTGATACAAATTCTTTATACCAGAACATGCATAATGATTGTATTTTTATCTTTGAGTCTCTTCAAGCCGTCGCTTGCACCAGGAAGAAACCCATGTAGAAAATCCACAGTTGTTTTTTTAAGTATTGTTAAACACAATTGTCCAAGACTAGCACAAACGGAAATGTGAGAGTTTTTCCATCCGAAACTGAGTACAACTGCCAAATGACCCACTTTAAATACCCAATTCCGATTCAGAGTAACAAACATCTTCAATCACGTAATTTCTTTGAAAACTTTTTTGGGAATTGCCATTTTAAATCGTTGCATCATTTACTTTATATATTTCTGTAATGCTATTACATTGTATTAGTATGTTTTTTGTCCGACCCGTAAGATCCGAACCCGACCCGATTCGTGAACCAACCCGATCCATATAATTTAAATCCGATTCTCCCCCATCAGTTTAGACCGGTTCACCCTTCCCCCAAATCTGTTCCTATACTGAGATAAAATCATATTTGAATCTCCTCATTTAAATCCCGTCTGTTCCGATCCCATCTTTTTCTCAAGAGGTTTGGGTATATTCTATTCCTTAAGGCACCAAGTAAAATCGATGTTTTGGGTGTTCTTCTGTGACGGTTCTTTTCAACTTTATCTCAATTTAATCAATTTGATTTCTGTCCATGGGAAGACTTGGAGTTTGGTGAAAGAGTAATTGTGATGTGATCAAATTCTTGTTTTCAATTTCTTGATTTCTTTATTAGATTCTTGAAATCACTTAATCTTGTAATTCATTTATAATTATGTTGAGAATCTTTATTTTGAGGTATTCACCGGTGTTCCAAATCAATCCAAAACACAAACATGTTGATAAATTCAGTTTGACAAGCTAAGTATATTAGTATAACTCAATAAAAAATTCTTAAGGAGACGATGGAAAAATCCCATGCCAACTTCATACACAGTTACGTACTCTCCATTACAAATTACATAACATACACTGTCGACATATATATAAGTTTCTAAGATGAAAACAAACCATGCAAGAATCTATATATAATATATATATAGGATTTCAGTTTCCAGGTCAAGACTCTAAACCCATTCTCCGGCTAGCCAACTCGCAGCTGAACTCAGTGAGTCCGACCCGCGAGTTGACCAGATCGAACTCCACCCACATGTCCTGCTGGTGATGGTGCCCGATCACGTACGCCTCCACCCCCAACAGCTCCGAGTTCCCGAACGTCAGGCAGTACCGATTTCCCCCAATTCCGTACAGCAATCTCTCCCCCGAAACCCTAATTTCCGCTCCTCCTCCCAACACCACCGTCACGCTCGGCAGCGCCACCTCCAAATCCACCCGCGAAATATCCCCAATTCTGTAGCACACATCCATCGCTCCTTGGAAAACGAAATTCGGATCCTCCACCGGCTGCAGAATCCCCGCCGTCCGATTCAGGAACTCGCTTTTCAGCGCTGCGTAAACGGGGCCCAGCAGGAAGGTGAACTGCGTGCCCGAATCGACCATGGTCTGACCCGCCCCGGTGTGGTCGGGTTCGAATACGGACTCGGGCACCGACAGCGGCCTGCCGGCGATGAGGATCGCCTGGAGACGTACGGTGTACGCAATCTTGTCGAAATTCGGCAGCGGGGTGGTGATTTGGATCATCGGAGTGTAGTTCAGAGGCCTCAGCCACTGGTAATCGGCGGCGCCGAGGAGGAGGACGCCGGAGGAGTCTCGGCCGGAGATGCAATAGGAGAATTTCGGAAAACCGGATTGGGAGACGAACGAGAGCCGGCCCCGGTTCATCCCGAGTAGACCGGTCGCCTTCGAGTCCTCTTCCGGGTTCGGGCTCGACCCGGACACCATGCACCCGAACACCGTACCCGGGAAGGTCGTGCCCGACTCGTCGAGGCGGAAGGTGTCGGCGGCTAAGCTGCCTTCGACGGCGGAGGCGTCGGCGTAGGAGAGGATGACGTGGCAGAGGTTGCCGGCGGCGCAGGAAACCGGCAGGGAGAACTCGGAGATCGGGTTGGTGCAGGTGGGCGCGGAGCAGGGGATTGGGCGGTACGACGTGGAGGCGCCGGAGTTGAAGGAGGACGGCGGCGCGGCGGCTCCGGCACAGTGCAGCCAGGAGAGGTGGCTGCCGGTGTCGAGGACCATGGTGGCGCGCTGCGGCGGCGAGCCGACGGCGACGGAGACGGTGAGGGAGACGTTGTGGTGGAAGGAGAGCTTGTTGGGGATTTGCATTGCTTTGAGGGGCAAAATCAGCGATGCTGATTGGTTGGCGGGGAGGGTTGGATTTGGGTGCACGAGGACTGCGCCGCAGAGGAATATTACCCACGGAAGAACCACGGAAGAAGAAGAAGAAGATTCCATGGCTGCACGAGAATATCACTTTAAGGGATGTAGTGACCAATGAATTTATAGGGAAAATTACACGACGCCTATAAAATAGAACTAATAAGACATAAATTTTATACTTTCTCCTGTCTGCTTAACAAATACTTTTTTTTTTTTTTTTCATGTTAATATATATCCCTCCATTGGACCTATTGTAAATTATAAATAGTAAATAATTAAAAAATATATTAGTAAAAAATAATTATTGTATAGTAAATATAAAATTATAGATTAAAATTAAAACAATTAAATAGTTTAATTAAGATTAAAAAAATTATAAAATATAAAATTAAAAATATAATTACATGTATAATCATATTTCCAAAAGCAGGAAATGACAAATTATATGAAACAGACAAAAATAGAAAATATAAACAAATTATATGGGACGAAAAGAGTGTGCTTTTAGTAATTATAATTCCACTTATTTTACATAAATACTCATATTTTATTATTATATCATTATTTTTTTACCAAAAACCAACTTTAACTATTTATTTTAATTAAAATATTACTACCTCCGTCCCTCGTATCGTGTCTACTACACTGTAGACACGGTATTTTAGGAGAAGTATAATTAGTAGATAATTAAGAATTTATTAGTGAAAATAATTATCCTATAATATAAATAATTATAAATTAAGATTAAGATAACTAATTAGTTTAATTAAATTTAAAAAAATTAAAAAGTTTAAAATGAGATTAAAGTGTGTAATCATTTTAAAAAAAAAAAAGTGACATGGTATGTGGGACGGACAGAAACGACAACGTGGACATAGTATGTGAGACGGAGGGAGTATAATTTTTAAAATTTATATATAATTTACTGCGGGATGGATGGAGTAGAATATTATTTGTTAGGTTTTCATATGACTAGTATTTTTATGTGTTAGATTGAAGAAATCCATAGTTAAATTTTTAATCAACACTCTAACCGTAGTCGTAACATGGTACATTAATTAACATAGTTCATGCTTGTAGGTATGCTATATGATTATTCCCTTTTGTTTTAAAAAATAATAATGTTTTATTACTAAGCGTAAGGTTGTAAGATTTTATCTAGTGTTAAGATAGTACTGAATTTTTCACACATAATTCACCTAATATGATTTGTCTTATCAGGCCTAATTTGCAGGTTATTAAGTTCGATCGGGGTTTATCCGGTGAGCATTTTTTGCAAGCTGCGAATTCTCAGGTTAAAAAAAATAAATAAATAGTGCTTAATTTACATATCAACTTGGAAGCAATGACATATATGTATATGTGTATATATATATATATATATTAATTGTTAGGAAGACTGAAAATGGGAAAGAAATAAATATGAAGTAGGGAAGGGTATAATATGGAGACATGAGATGAGAGGATGATATAAGTGAATTACAGAAAGGATGGATTAATGGTGGATTATGGATTACAGTTCAAATGAAATATATATATATAGACAGAGAACAGTTAAACATCAATGTCTAATTTAACAATAAATAAATAATTAATTGCATGGAGAAAGTCTTTGGTCACTCCAATAAAGATATGTGAACATCAGGAAAAATGTTGTCTTCAATTATATGTATGTTTGTCCATTCCATTAATGCATGGGAAGTAATTTACACTCATTTGTCCATCCACCATATTTAGTCCATATGATTGAATATAATAAAATTAGTGATATTTATTATAAACTCTCTAACAATGATTAATGGAAATATAAAAAATTATCTAATTCAAATTTATGAATTGGAAATGATGTAAAATGATTAATAAAGATATATATGAATCATGCCTAAAAAATTATATGTTCACTGTCACACATAAGCGTGTTGAAAAGTCACTTAACATCAGAGTGAGTTTTATGCAGACAGTAGTTTAGTCCATGTAATTTCCAGACAAGAAATTTGTGATCACAAATAGATTTAACCTTTTTAACTTATCAAGAAAAGAACCCATTGGATCTCAAATGTGTATATATATATATATATATGGGACATGGAAGCGTGCCTGTCTGTGTCATTCATTCTTCAGGCAGATGTAGCAGCAGCCTTGAGAGACAGGAAATCTGATATCTTGTTGGTGTAGAAATCTGGCTGTATGGTGGTGTTGGGATTTTGAAGCGTCGACAGACTCGTCACACCTACATTGAACAATACAAGACAGTCTTAAAGAGTGCAAGGAAGGGTGATGAAGGAAAGAGTCGAATACTTACCAGAAAGGACAAGGAGGGTTTTGCAGCCGCCATTTTGTCCGAAAAGAATGTCGGTATCGAGCCTATCTCCAACCATGCATATCTGTGACTTGGAGATGCCAAATCTGAGGATAATATGCATTAGTGGTAATTAGTTTCAAGGTGATGTTATGGAATATAAAGCTCGGTTCTTTTTTAGATCTTTACTATGCAAACCTTATTAGTATCTGTAAAAAAGTATATTATTTCTTGTTACAAAACATCACATTACATTACTATTTAAAAACAAAACACAAACACACCCTAAATCATCGCCACAATAATAAATTCCAACAGGGTTGTGAGACGGAAGATCATTTTCAGATGACTAAGTTCCTGTGCATAGCTCATAAACAAGAGTTCCTACAAATGTTTTTGGTTTTCTGCCGTATGTTTGAGAATATAGAAACATAGGTCGAGGAATAATGTACTAGGAAACTTACTCATTTGCAAGGTAATCCATCATGAAAGTCGAAGGCTTTCCAACAACAAGTGGCTCGCGTTGAGTTGATCCAAGTACTGCTCCCACCATTGAACCCCCACCTGTTCAAATGCAACCAAAATGATGTTAAGCATCAATCCCTCTGGCCACAAAGAAACCAACAGTTTTGATCATATAATTCAAAAATGCCAGAAACAAAATACTTCCTTCGTTTTATAAAAGTATGCTCAAAACTTTTGGGCATGGAGATTAAGTACTGTAGTTTTTAATATTATTTTAGTATTTCTATAAAGATAGAATTGAAATTTTTATAGAATTAATAATGTAACTTTTAGATTAAAGAAAAATAGTGGGTAAAAATTTTAAGATAAATTGTATTTTTTTACTAAATATGTGAACATACTTTTGGTAGACAGAGAGAAATGGTCAAATAAGCATACATACTTTTGCAAGACGAGGAGAGTATATTTTTCCAAATTGAGAATCCATACAAATATAATGCCTTAGTGTCTAGCTGCTACTCTCTTGAAAGTACTGAAAATCATATGGAAATTAACATATTTATGCATTTGAACAAACATCGGCATGCTCACTCTAGAACGCGCTGCAACAACATGACGATAGATACTGTGCCAAGTAAGGTATCACCCATCAATGGAAACTCAAGGGTGCATATTGAACAAACAAAATATGTTGCCAGAAATTAGCATATAACAGAAAACCATAAATGTACCGATTGTATAATTAAGTCAGAATATGATTTGTTGGAATATGTCTGGCTGATATATGCCAAGAAGACATTCCAATTAGAATAAAGGTGCCTGCAGCATGGTTGGTGGCCATGGAAGAGGCCGTGGATGGGAGAAGACCAGTAAATAAATAAAACTTCCAAAAGATTGGTGGGAAAACTAATATCTATCCCATATACAATTAGGCATCACTATGCATTAAGTGTTATAAACCAATTCATGTACAATCCAAGGGAAAAGCACCAAATTGAAGCTTTCAGAAATGTTTGATACTTGAAAGGATCACCTAGCAGGGGGATCATGTTAAAAAAGGATGCTAGTCGGTTGTTCATAGTTACGCAGATGCAGACTTGGCAGGATCTCATACAGATAAGCATTCCACTACTGGCTGGTGCATTTTTGTAAGAGGTAATTTGATAGCTTAGCGTAATAAGAAGCAGCCAGTAATATCTTGGAGTAACGTGTAAGTTAAATAGTGGACTATAGCACTTGGGATGTGTGAATAATTTAGCTAAGGAGACTAATCTCCAAATTGGGGCATGGCTCAGAAGGAACCAATGAGATTCTAGTTATAGCACTGCAGCAACGGATATCTTTAGTAACCAAATTCAATGTGATAAAACAAAGAACATTAAGATTGGCCAACAGTTTATAAGAGAGAAATAGGAGATTGGAGACTTTAAATTGATCTATGTACAATTAGAGAACTAGTAGCTTATGATTTAACTAACTGACTAAATCAAAGCACATTTTAAGAACTTGATCAGCAAGCTTGGTTTGATGGACATCTACAAACCAGTTTGCGGGGGAATGTTGGCAGAATTGATGGAAATAGATTATGCTTATGGCAAAGAATCATATATGTAATTGATTGTGCAATTACGTCATGATATGACTAATAGATGATAGGCATAATTAATCAGATACTATAGATAGATGATAGTCAAAAAATCAGGAGAACAATTCATTACTGCTGCACATTTATACACATCTACCTTGTCCCAAGGAAAGCAGAAAAATCATTTCTCAAAATATTATTTCTTCTAAACATTCAATTGAATCATGCAAGCTTTATATGAAAATGGTCAATATTCATAGCAACAAACTTTTCTGAATGCTAATTAACTGAAAAGCTATATTTCTGTTGTTGACAGGTAAAAGCATTCAAATTCTTCATGTGACACCTAAATTCATAGTATAGATAGATGGTGTACATTATTATTGAAGAACATGGAAATTGGGTTTCAAATGAAACATTGGAAACTGAGGTTGAGCCGTAATTGTAACCCAGACATGCTCAAAGATATGATACTTGCAAAGACCTTGTTGAGTTTTACTTAAACAAGAACTTTGGGAAATAAGGCAAAATAAACCAAGAAAAAAGATAGTGAATCTGGACGTCACCTGCCCATTCTTGCGCATCTGTAAGATGGGTAACAGCATCACGGTTTGTAGCAATGAAAAGACAGCCGGGGTTTTCACGGATGCACAATGTTGCATACCTTCATGAAGAATGAATGGAGTTTTGAATTAGGTGACAGATGTAAACATTTCTAATATATTAGTATGAAATATCCTATGTAGGTGTGTTCTACAGATGAAACCATTAGTGTAACCAAAAATGAATTCATACAAAATTCGACCATGCATTGATCAAATTCAATAAGGTTAAACTAAAACTCAAATGGAACAATCGGATGTCAGATATCCATGACAGGCAACAGGAGAAAAGGAAGAACATATACAATCTCCTTGTATGTTGGAACTTTTTCTCCAATTACGATAACCCTTTGACTCCATTATACAATAAGACAACTTTAGAAATCTAAAGAGGCACACAGCGTCAGGAATAAATAACTTACTGAACTTTGTAATAGTTGAAGTAGCGATCGAATCCGACTACCACAGCTCCAACCTAGAAATAACAAGATATGTTTATGAACATGTGATCACCACCAAATTCTTTAATCAATTCATTCCATTCCAAAATTCTTAAAAGCCTTATGGGGATATAGACAAGTACGGTTCTAGAAATTGATGTAGCTGAGGAATAAAACAAACAAGTGAACAGTACATTTTCGTCATGCTCCATCATAAAACCAGGTGTTAGTTCAATCTTCTTGTCACCATCTACCTGCATGATGCAAAACAATAGACTACATCGTAGGTATGCAGTGATCAAAACAACAATATGAAGATGTGTGAGAGCATCTATGAGGAATTAAGGAATATAGTTGATAAAACAATATGAATGATCAGTAAAATCAAAGAGGTCACCCAAGGGGCGATGTTTGTCCAAGTAGCCCCTCAACACATGCACAACACTGGATTTATATATCAATAATTATCCTTCAGAACTCCATAGGTAGAGCTATCTATATCTATGGTCCATTTTACAATATGCCAGCAAAAGAACTAGTCTGACAGAAACAGCTGCCAGGGATTTGAAAATGTCCCTAAAATTTCACATTTTTTTTATACTTAGCTGCCAACTAGAAGTTCTTACACAAACAATGGTTTTGCCAAGTATTTTAAAAGGGTGGGAAAAAATTAGAACCAATTAGAATTATGTTGAATCCATTACATACCGGTCCACCAAGATACTGAAACCCTGCTTGTTCCAGCTCCTTCAAGATGCCATCTTCGCCAATTACATAAACCTTAACATATTCCAGAATGAAAATTACTTACAAGCCCATTCTATCCATGTATAGTCAATGAAATTGTTCCAAAACGTTTAACAACAAGATGAATTGAACATTACAATAATGTCAACCATATAAGAGAGTAACAAATCAGAGTACTTGGTACTGACATGCATCAATGTTAATGGTAAAAAAATGAACATATGTATCATATCAATATGGGGTGACAACAAAAACATTATATTCAAGCAATGAACTTATTGCCTAGTCAAATATACATACACTAAAGCCAGACATATAGAGAAGCAAACTCATAATAAGCTGTCATTGAAGTCAAGCCTAACGAAAATGACATGGAAGTAGGCTCCAAAATTAAAAACTACAGAAGGCAGCAAACAATCAACAACAGGTAATCAAGTTATAAAAGGTAATGTCATCCATGTATCAGCACAAAGTATAGAAGAAACAAGATAAACAAGACAGTCGGAGTAGCCTTAGGCCTGCATAAAATCATTATACATTGAAAGATGGAACTCATTTGGGGAACCCATAATTTGTCCCAGTGGTCAGTGAACATCTTCCTATAAATGCTTCATTTCTAGGTACATACCTTTTTATCTTTTGGAAAATCAATCGATTTTAAGTAAGCAGCTGCTGCGAAGGAAGATGCAAAAATTTCCTCCTGGACCATTTCAGCAAGTTACGGGAACTGATATTTGAAGAAGCTACTAAAGTCTAGAAATCCAGAAAACTATGATGAAAACTCACCTCCGTGACATTGAGACCTAGTGTTTCAAACTTCTTTCCATACTGCTTTCGAGATTTTGTTGAGTTGTTTGTGACAAAAACTAACCTTTTCCCCTGTAGAGAACTCAGCATAACAGTTAGCATTGCAAAAATATAAAGTGAGAGTGAGGACACTGTTATATCAAAGATTCTGCTACCCTTTTGCTCACAATGTTAATACACAAAGGTATGACTTTGCCCACATTAAGACGAGGACCATTTTAAGATTTTTAGAGGTAAAAGAAGACTAACCTTTGATCGAAGCATGTCAAGAGTTTCTGGGACTCCATCAATCAATTTATCTCCCTTCCATATTACCCCTGCAATATGTTAAGCAATTGTGACCCTCAGGTGTACTAAATGCAGAACTTTAATCACTCAAAAATAAGAAAACTCTAATAAGAAAAGGACACCAGTACATGGTAAAAACACAACCAGCCCTCAAGTTTGTGTATGTGCCAACGAAAATGGCTTTCCAATAATGAGGTAAATAAACCCAACAGCTTGTTTGAACATATGAGACTTTTGAATCCCCCTTTTCAATCTTGCTCTTATTAACATGATAATTATAAGCATGTATAAAAGTGGACAAATTCAATCTGAAGACCCAAAAATACAGCACATATAATCATATAACAAACTCAATATCTTTCATGTAGCATTAGTACTATAATTCTAGTATTTTCATCTATCTGCGAAAGAGGTCACTGAAAAGTGCATAGCAGTGTGGAAACAGCAGAGATGAAGAGGCAGCCCAGACTTGAAACATGTAGAAGCTAAAGAATTATTAAATTATTATTACTTTGGTGGTGCTAAAACATAACACCTCACAAGGGTATTCTTGTTTCTATTATGCAATTGAGTAAAGAATGTGCTATACATCTTTAACTGTGGAGCTCCTGAGATGAGCAGACTGGATCAGAAAAAAGACTAAGAAAAGAAAAAGAAAGATGAATGGACTGGAAGAGAAAAGAAAAAGCAGTGAAATAAATTGAGATAAACAGATTTTGGTTTGCATGTGTCCATATGTCCGTGGAAAATGCATGGAAAATTGAATAAATGCATCAACTAATGAAACAACTGAAAATGAGAGGAAATGGATAGGAGTGGGCAGTTCCTGCAACTGCATGATAATGTCCACTCTCTGCTAAATCATTCCACTCAAGTTTATCCCAAAATTGTAGGATCATCTTCTCATTTCCTTTGCCGGACAATTCTAGTTTGGCCAATTGTAACTTATCTTTCTTTCTATCATGCCTAAATACTTCCAATAAAAATTCCATTTGAATGTTGTAGACACTAAAAATATATGTCTAAAATCAATTAAATATAATGTATTTTGGAAGAAAATAAAATTCCAATAAAATAAATATATAGTATTTAATTATGCACATATGTTAATTTTTGTACAATAAATATCAACCATTAATACAAAAATCTGCTTAAAAATGGAAGATATCGTACAAATATTACGTGCATAAATAGAGTCATAATAAATTTGGCAGCAAAATAAATTAATCTTGTCAATAAAGGAAATATATAAATTAATATCTTACGAAAAAGGGCAATGATATAAAGATATATGCGAGAAAGGAAGGTGCACAATCAAATCCGTCAAGAATGGAAAAGAGCATTCGATGGAAAATGAAAGATTATAAAATATTCCTATTGGCCAATCAAAACGCGCCATGTGGCACCATTAAAAAAAGAAGCCGAAACCACCCATCCCCTATAAATAGGAGCCATGATCAGTTCATTTGAAACACCGAAGTTACATCGAGGACTCAAACAAGAGGGTAAGTCTCAAAACTCTCTCAATATTGTTCTTCATGTTCTTCGTATCCTTCAAAGCGTTCTTCGTCGAAAGTCACTGATTTGGACAAATGATCCAATATTGGTTGACGAATCGATGGAGTTAACGTTCTTCATCATATGTCCAAGCCAGATGAAGGATCAAAACTCTCAAAGCCGTTGAGGAATTTGTCAAAGCCAAGGGAAGGTCTCCAAAGTTCCTCTCAAAGTTTCAAGATGTTCATCGCGTTCTTCAACAAAGCATCAACTAGGTCCTCTTCGATCCAAAAATCAAAGGGACACGCCGCTAAAAGTGTTATGGAACATCAAATCCACTTCTTCAAGGATCAAAGCTCCAAAAGCCATTGAAGAGTCCATCAAAGCCAAGGAAGAGCATCCAAAGTTCATCATAAAGCTTCAAGGTGTTCATCGCGCTCTTCACCAAAGCATCAATTAGGTCCTCTTCGATCCAAAAGTCAAAAGGACATGCCGCCAAAAGTGTTATGGAGCACCAAATCCATTTCTTCAAGGATCAAAGCTCCAAAAACTATTGAAGAGTCCATCAAAGCTAAGGAATAGCATCCAAAGTTCATCCCAAAACTTCGAGGTGTTCATCGCGTTCTTCACCAAAGCAACAACTCAACCCTTTTCGATCCAAAAATCAAAGGGACACGCCGCCAAAAGCGTTATGGAGCACCAAATCCACCTCCTCAAATATTAAAGTTGCGGATCGTCCAAAGAAGACATCAAAACCAAAGCCAATGATCAAACCGCCCACACGGAGACCAAAGTCCTCCGAACGGCGGCAAAGTCAAACCAAAGATCAAAGTCGTGGATCGTCCAAAGAAGATATCAAATCCAAAGCCGACGGTCACATCGTCCATACGGAGACCAAAGTTCTCCAAAAGACGGAAAAGACAAACCAAATATCAAAGTCGCGGATCGTATAAAGAAGACGACAAATACTAAGCCAACGATCAAATTGTCCACACGGAGAGCAAAGCTCTCCAAAAGACGGCAAAGCCAAACCAAAGATCAAAGCCGCGGATCGTCGAAAGAAGACATCAAATCCAAAGCCCACACAGAGACCAAAGCCCTCCAACACATGCAACAACAAGACGCCCTCATTGAAAAACTTCTCACAAAGCTGGACAAGTCTGAAGAATCCAGTCATGCCATCGAAAAGCAACAATTTTCCCCAGCAGTCCAAAATAAAGCGGCAACATATATGAAGCAACTTCATGGCAAAGAAAATGTGGCAGAACCAAATCCAGTTCAAGGATCATCCAACTCCTTCATTCATATATCCCAACTTGACAAATACATCAAGGGGGCAATCAAAAGAGAATTCGAAGGGAGTTTAAGGCCGACGCACACTTACGCCAAACCTTACACTGCAAGGATTGACGCCCTCAAAATGCCAACGGGCTATCAACCACCAAAGTTTCAACAATTTGACGGCAAAGGCAACCCAAAGCAACATATAGCGCACTTTGTCGAGACATGCAACGATGTTGGAACGTATGGAGACCTCCTAGTCAAACAATTTGTGCGGTCACTAAAAGGCAACACCTTCGAATGGTACATCGACTTAGAGGCTGGTTCCATAAAAAATTGGGAACAACTGAAGTACGAGTTCTTGAATTGGTTTTACAGCACAAGAAGAACCATCAGCATGACCGAACTCACCAACAGCCGCCAATGGAAAGAGGAGCCGGTAATTGACTATATCAACCGCTGGAGAAGTCTAAGCCTCAACTGCAAAGACCGTTTGTCCGAGACTTCCGGCATAGAAGTGTGCGTTCAAGGGATGCAATAGGGCTTGAAATACATCCCACAAGGGATCCGACCCCATACTTTTGAAGAACTCGCCACTCGCGCCCATGATATGGAATTGAGCATGATGTCTAGTGGAATGTATGGACCGCCTATTGAAGATTTCTCAGAAGACGAGAAATACAACACTTCAAACAGTGGGGGCAGTCATACCTTCACCACTCTTGGAAATGGGGATCATCTTTCTACAATCTCCTGGAAACGATGATAAACTTTCTAAAATCTCTTAGAAAAGAGAGTAAACTTTCTACAATCTCCTGAACACGATGATAAACTTTCTAAAATCTCATAGAAAAGACAATAAACTTTCTACAATCTTCTAAAAACGAGGATAAACTTTCTTCAATCTCCTGGAAACGAGGATAAACTTTCTTCAATCTCCTGGAAACGAGGATAAACTTTCTAAAAATCTCCTAGAAACGAGGATAAATTTTCTTCAATATTCTAGAAACGAGGATAAACTTTTTACAGCCTCCTAAAAACGAGGATAAACTTTCTTCAATCTCTTGGGAATGAGGATAAATTTTCTAACAAGACTCCTTAACATGAGAATAAACTGTTTAACAAAAACAAACAAATTCAATTTGTTTTGAACTACGTTATGACTTGATTCATTCACCGGATACGTAGGCAACTTGGAATATAACTTCAAGTTCAGTCAATTATGCCAAAAAAAAAAAAAGGAAAAGCCCTAAAAATAAATTGGGCAAAAAAAAGTCCAAAAAAAATCAATTGGACAAAAAAAAAAAACTCGTCCAAAAAAAAAAGAAAAAGCCATTTGAAAAAAATATTGGCTAAAAAAGAAAAAAAAAATAATAGCCATAAAAAAAAAATCGGTCAAAAAATAAATTGACTTATCTTTCGAGACTCATTCACGCCTTAAACGCTTTGCGTCGGCTTAAAAGAGTCTCGAGGGGACATTTTGTAGACACTAAAAATATATGTCTAAAATCAATTAAATATCATGTATTTTAGAAGAAAATAAAATTCCAATAAAATAAATATATAGTATTTAATTATGCACATATGTTAATTTTTGTACAATAAATATCAACCATTAATGCAAAAATCTGCTTAAAATCAATAAATGAAGTATATAAATTAATATCTTACGGGCAATGATATAAAGATCTTGGCGAGAAAGGAAGGTGCATAATCAAATCCGTCAAAAATTGAAAAGAGCATATGATGGAAAATGAAAAATTATAAAATCTTTCTATTGGCCAATCAAAACGCGCCATGTGGCACCATTAAAAAAGGAAGCCGAAGCCCCCATCCCCTATAAATAGGAGTCATGGCCAGTTCATTTGAGACACCGAAGTTACATTGAGGATTCAAACAAAGGGGTAAGTCTCTAAACTCTCTCTGTATTGTTCTTCATATTCTTCGTGTCATTCGATGCGTTCTTCATCGAAAGTCACTTATTTGGACAAATAATCCAATATTGGTTGACGAATCGATGGAGTTAACATTCTTCGTCATATGGCCAAGCCGGATGAAGGATCAAAGCTCTCAAAGCCGTTGAGGAATTCGTCAAAGCCAATGGAAGGTCTCCAAAGTTCCTCTCAAAGTTTCAAGATATTCATCGTGTTTTTCAACAAAGCATCAACTAGGTCCTCTTCGATCCAAAAGTCAAAGGGACACGCCGCCAAAAGTATTATGGAGCATCAAATCCACTTCTTCAAGGATTAAAGCTCCAAAAGCCATTGAAGAGTCCATCAAAGCCAAGGAAGAGCATCCAAAGTTCATCCCAAAGCTTCAAGGTGTTCATCGCGTTCTTCACCAAAGCATCAATTAGGTCCTCTTCGATCCAAAAGTCAAAAGGACACGCCGCCAAAAGTATTATGGAGCACCAAATCCACTTCTTCAAGGATCAAAGCTCCAAAAGCCATTGAAGAGTCCATCAAAGCCAAGGAATAACATCCAAAGTTCATCCCAAAACTTCGAGGTGTTCATTGCGTTCTTCACCAAAGCAACAACTCGGCCCTTTTCGATCCAAAAATCAAAGGGACATGCCGCCAAAAACGTTATGGAGCACCAAATCCACCTCCTCAAAAATCAAAGCTGCGAATCGTCCAAAGAAGACATCAAAGCCAAAGTCAATGATCAAACCGCCCACACAGAGACCAAAGCCCTCCGAACGGCGGCAAAGTCAAACTAAAGATCAAAGCCGCGGATCGTCCAAAGAAGACATCAAATCCAAAGCCGATGGTCAAATCGTCCACATGGAGACCGAAGCTTTCCAAAAGACGGAAAAGACAAACCAAATATCAAAGTCGCGAATCGTCTAAAGAAGACGACAAATCCAAAGCCGATGATCAAATCGTTCACACGGAGACCAAAGCTCTCCAAAAGGCGGCAAAGCCAAACCAAAGATCAAAGCCGCGGATCATCCAAAGAAGACATCAAATCCAAAGCCCACACAGAGACCAAAGCCCTCCAAAAGCGGCAAAGCCAAAGCAAAGATCAAAACATGGGATCATCTAAATGAGACATCAAATCCAAAGCTGACGATCAAATCGTTCTCACGGATACCAAAGTCCTCCAAAAGTCGGCAAAGCCAAATTAAAGATCAAAGTCTCAAATCGTCCAAAGAAGACATCAAATCCAAAGCCGACGATCAAATCGCCTGCACGGAGACCAAAATTCTCCAAAGTCAACCAAATCTCTTTGGATCAAAGAAGCCATAGAAAACCAAATTGAAAAATAAATCGACCCGGAAGGAGAATTAAATGACTCATTTAGATAATAAGACCCACTTTAAATTCAAATCAAGTATAATTTGTACAAATTTTATGTTTATTAAAAATAACACAATTTTTTGTATCATTTTAGACTTGGTCATCCTTCCTTTAAAGTTTTGAGAGTCATGTTTTCCATCTATTTCAAGAATTGGATATTCTAGAATTTCATTGTTAAGTATGTGAATTCGTTAAATATACTCAAATATCTTTTCCTGTTAGCAATCGCTAACCTTTTTGTGTTTTTTATGACAATCTCTAACCTTTTTATCCAATCCACAGTGGACCTTCATCAGCTCCAAACATTACTGAAGCTAGATGGTTCATTTCTCTAATTTATGATTGCATCGGGTTACATGGCTTTTTCTCCTAAAACAAAAATCTGATGTCAGTTTTTTCTCCATATGGTTCTAAATCAGGTGAAAATAGAAGAGGATTAGAACAGATAATGCAAAGGACTACTTCGACCAAACCTTATCCTCATTTTTTCAATTGTATGGATATTTCATGATTCTTCTTGTGATGATGCCCCCAACAAAACGGAGTATCATAAAGAAAAAATGGGCACTTGCTAAATACTACCCGTACACTAGTTTTTCAAGGGAATGTTACAAAGAGTTAAGGGGGAAGCTGTCCTAACTGCCACCTATTTGATAAGCTGCTTATTTATTTTTCATATTTAAAACTTAATGCAAAAAAAAAAAAAAAAAAAAAGTGCACAGGATAACAAAAGCCCTATCGAAGTGTTGAATAGTGTGATTAACCTCATTTCATAACTCCTAAAGTGGTGTTCTTTTATGGGATTTTACTTAATATTTTTATTATTCAAATTCTTTTTTTCCTCTAAAAATATTAAATCAAACAATTATATTTTAATTTTTTTATATTATACTATAAATTTATTTTACATTTAAAATATTTATATCACGTCAAACAACTATTTAAATTCAACTTTTACTATTCAAAAATCCAAATTCAAAAACCCAAACCCACAAACAAACACACCCATAGTTTGATACCTAGAATCTTTTGGTGTACAAATTTTGTTCATATCCATCCATAGCAATCAAAGGTAAAAGCTTGAACCATGAGCCACTAAGTGCATTTTCCTGGGTTACTCTTCTACCTAGAAACGGTACAAATGTTACCATCCTTCCTCAAGAAAAAATTATATTTCAGCTGATGTGACATTTGCTGAAACTACTCCCTTCACCCTAAATCCCCACCTCAACAAGGACAGCCCTCTACTCAAGAAAGTGAAGAAGAATATTTGGAACCCATGAATAACCTTGATCATCCATTTAGTTATGAACCAAAAGACTTGAAACACCTACTGTACCTGATCTCACCTCTCTTCCCATGCCTACTCCCACTGACCCTACAAAAGTTTCCTACCTTCCAAAGGGTGTACTCAAGGAGGAAGGATGTCCCCGAACTGGTTGAAGTCCAACAATCTAACCCAGAACCTTTTTTAAGCTCTCGGTAGTAAACAAAACCTCCTATCTACATCCCATACTAGCAACATGTGGCTAGAAAATGGGCTCAAGCTATGGTGAATGATGCTGGCCAACAGCATGTCGTCAACTATCTCAATCTCATTTTTCGAAGGCGTCCATTACAGAAAAAGATTGGCCATGACGTCAGTCAAGTTAGATGTGTTGGTTAGTCAGTCCCTGGAGACAAACAAGAACTCCTTTAACACTACACTGGATCCACTATGATCACAAAATACTATTCCAAGGTGCAGAACAAACTTCATAATGCCACGTGAGAACACTATTTGCGACCCGACAGCTTCTGGCAAGGCTACATTGTTATCTATGATTTCATAATTCCTTTCCTATGGTCATCTCTCACCCTTGCAATACCGAGTACTCAATTACTTGGAAAACTCCAAACAATGTAATCAAAGCTGATCATCCTTACCAATGATCCTTATTCAAACTCTTAGCAATGAAATGTAGATCATTGTTTCTATGTAGGCCAATCTTTGCCTAATCCTTATTTCGTAAACGGCGCATTTCGTTTAAGAAACTTCATACTTTGAAGAAATTAAACGATCCGATTCCAAGCTTATGTATATGTATGAACAAGCGCTTCAGGCATTTCACCAAACAGATTAAGTGCACCAGGAAATCAACCACAGATACAAAGAATCATACAATAATACCAAAAACGTACCGTCACAGTCGAAGATGAAGGTCTCGACAGAATCAATGAGCTGATCGGGATCCTTTAGCGGCTCAGCCGACGCCCGGGGCCCAGCAGTTCTCGTCGAAGCAGAGGCTTCCATTCTTGACCAACTCTTCCTCTTAGCAATCCCCCATTCCACTATGGGTCTGAGAGAATTGAACAATAAGGGGCTGGCAAGAAAAGGAATTTTTGTGCTGTGATGATTCTTCAAGAACAGCGTGGAAGAAGACGATGAAGAAACTGCTGACAGCCTACTCGCCAGCATAGCTATGGATTCTTTGGAGCAGAGCAGAGTTATTTCCTGGTTTGAGATCGATGGGCTGCTGTCCGCATGTGGTTGGGAAGTAAAGCGGACGTGGTGATGGATTGAGTGGACGCATTTGTTCGCTCTATCTATCTAGTTAGTATCCTCCACCACCACCACCAGTCTACCTAAAGCTGTGTTCTTGACATCTTCTGCTGTTTTTGATCCATAAAAGAGTTTGATTTGTATTTCAATTTATTATACTCCCTTAGGGTGCGTTTGTATTTTGGACACTTTGTAAAAATTTTGAATTTAAATAATTATACTATATAAATTAAACACGTATTAATTAATATTTCTTCCGTCTCGTAACAAATATTCATTTTTTCATTTTAGTTCGTTCATAACAAATATCAATTTTCTCTTTTTAGTAACTGTATTATCTACTTAACATTACAAATACACTTACAAGTTACATTACAGTATATTACACAAATATCATTACCTTTATATCACACATACTAATATAATAAGATTATTTTGGTCATTTCTACTTTATTCCTACTATATCCCAATATAATACTACTAAAACTACTTATAAAAAGCAAATTGATACTTATTTATGGGACGGAGTGAGAGTATAATGTTTTAAATATAAAATTAATTTTAATAATATAAATTCATACAATTTCTTCAAACAAATACACTCTTTTAAGTAATTTTCTTATTTTTAAGCATTTCACCTGTCACAAGCATATAGAATATAAATTTTAACTTAAAAATAATATTTTAATATAATATTTTATTATAAATTATATATATTGAAAAAAATAGACTATTGTCCTCACGGACTGATGGTCTGGAATGAATTTGTTTAGTTTTGTTAATTTAACTTTTTAAAGTTTTAAATTAAACAATCATATGTTATGATCTTTTAAATAGTACTCCCTCCGTTCCTCCCAATATTAGTGTAGATACTAGAATTTAGGTAAATTATAATGAGTAAGTAAAAATAATTATAGATTAAGATTATAAGTAAATAGTTTAATTAAAATTAAGAAAATTATAAAATTTAAAATTTAAAATGCGATTAAAGTGCATAATTATATTTCCAAAAATAAAAAAGACAAGTTATGTGGGACGGACGAAAATAAAAAAATAGAATAAATTATGTGGGACGGAGGGAGTAAAATTAAAAGAATAAACAAGCAATGGAGTACATTGATTAGCAAATCATACTAATAATGAGCGAATAACATTGAAATTGAGGGTGTGTTTGTTTGGGGATCACTCTTCATTTAATTTTTTCTCTCCCAAAAATATCAAATCTAAATATTTATTTTTTATTTTTTATATTATACTAAAAATCAATTTTACATTCAAAACATTACATCAACACCTATTTATATCACATTATACAACTATTTTTATTCAAAATTTTTACTATTGAAATTCCAATTCAAAATCCAAACCCTCAAACAAACAGAGAAAACCATGAATCAAAGAGGCATCAAGGATAAAAAAAACACAAGAATTTGATTAACAGGTACATGGATATTTAGCCTATGCCAATAATATTCAAATTAAATATCTACAATCTAAATTATAATATTTAAATCATATCAAAAAATTATATCCTTAAATTTTAGGATATAATCAAAATTTATATCCCAAGAGTTTCCGACGACTGTAACTCGTTCGATATGAGAAGGATAATTAGATTTCGGTTCAGCCAAAGTGCAAAATAGTCCAAAGTAACTACGCCTTCAAGTGGAGGTAGCTCCGACACCCACCGAAATTGACACTTGAATCCTCACCGAAACTCTCTCGGAACCCATCAAACACTCACCGGAAAACCCCTCGGAAATCTCGCCAGATTCTCTCTCATAACTCACCGAAATCATTGGCCGAGACTGCTCTATTATGGGACGAATTAAGTATATTTATGTTCAATATTTTAGAACTATCCCATAAAAATTGCAAAAATATATGTTAAAATTCATATCGTAAACATTTGTAACATGCATTGCAATAAATACATCAAAAAATGACACCGAAAGTTCTCATACAAACAATCCCACTTCGTCTTTTGATGTGAATCCATCATATTTCAAATATTTACAAAATTAAATAAATATGTATAAATTAAATATATATATATATGACGACGACTACAGTATTCAGCATCATCTTGTGGTAGCACATAATTTACATTAATATAATATAAATACAATACATATAATTTTATAACACTGTAACTATAAACAAACAGTATATGCTTTTATTACATAGAACGGTAAGTTGTTTATAATAAAAGAATGTCACATTTATATATTTTATTTACATAGAACTGTAAGTTGTTTATAATAAAAGAATGTCATATTTATATATTTTATTCAGCATCTTGCCGGTATATATTTTATTACACTATTATAGATGGTGCCGCACTCTTTCTCGTTAATCAACAATTATACTTTGCGCACTAGTGGTTGTACCATTTCGTGTATAAACCCTAAAGAAACCATACGGCAGCCTTACCGTTCGCTTGCCAACGAATTCCGATCGACACGCACTCGAATCCGTGCTTCTGACCAAGCTCATGCATACTGCACCCTCCACGGCGGCTGCGGCCGCCGCCTCCGCATCCACCGCCGTCGCCAGTGGTCAGAGCCATCACCCTAACGGCCCAATCTCTTCAAAGCAAGAAAGCAAACTTGTTTCTTCGCAGCCCGCGGATATCGTGGACCCATCGCAACCCTCTCCCGCTGGTCCAATTCGCATAGACGGATTCGAACATGATATCGCCGTATCCAGATCGGAGTTCCTGACGCAGCCGGAAGTTCTTAATCGCCGTGCCCGCAGGCTCAAGCAACTCGCTCGGATTTACCGCGACCACTATTGGGTATTGATGGAGGAGATTAAATCGAAACACAGAGAATATTATTGGGACTACGGAACAAGTCCATTTGTCAAGGATGAGGAGAACGAAAGGATGAATTCGACTCGTGGGGATTCCGTTTCTGCAGCTGCGGAGAATGTCAATAATGGGAATCCGGGGGTTAATGGTGGAAATGGTGTGTATAATCCTGGTGGTCGGTGTGGGGTTCATGGGTGCAAGGCCAAGGCCATGGCGTTGACGCGGTTTTGTTATATGCATATACTGGCTGATAAAAAACAGACGCTTTACAAGGGTTGTACTTTCGTCGTCAAGGGGTATGGTTTATGCAATTTTTTCTTCTTTCAAAAAGATTATTTGTTTGTTGATTCCTTTGCTTCATTCTATTGTGTTGTCGAATTCTAATGGTGGTGTTGCGTTCTGAACTAGTTTATGCCCCTTCAAACCATTTTGATGTTCCTCTTACTATAGCATGTAGTTAACAAATTCGGCGACTTATTCAGCCTGTGTTCCTGGCTGTATGGGAACTGATTGGCACCAAATTGTGTGTTTTGTTGGTAATTCTCTGCCTGTAATTATCACATCCATTGTAGGACACATGGGATATGTTGCTAGTGGATTATGTTAGTTTGGAGTTTGGAGTGTTTCTTCGACCACTTATAATGTATATATTTTTCTGTAGCTGCACGTGCTACTATTGAAAAACTCTAATTAGGTTAATGTTTGACCAGAACACTGTGCCTGTCATTAAATTGGATTATGGTCTATGAGATTTGCTACTGTGCTGTAGACAGTGTAATTTTCACTGCATCATATTTGCAAAATTTTTGGGAATAGTCGGTTTCATCTTGGTGTAATATCGAATGGTTTTCATTAAGTTATTACACGTTTAGGTTCTTTTGAAAGTTGTACTTTGACTACTGCTCATAAATGTTGTTGTCAGGATTGGGTGCCTTTTTTCAATTAGTTGAAATTGGATTTTGTGCTCATCTTGACAATATAGGTAGATTGTTTGTCGTTCTGTTTGGTACGATTGCAAAACCCAATCAGAAGTTTCCACTTGTATTAAACTGTGACCAACTAAAATAGCTCCTTCGGTTATGAATTTCATTACCTTGATACTTAACATTCTATTATAGCTTGGGTTGCAAAAGCCAAATTATTTGTTTTATTTTAATGTAGTTGTATGTGTACTTAAACGGACCCATTTAGAATTTGATTCTGTTTCAGTTTTGAGTCAGTTCTTTAATATACAAGTGTAGATCCCTTTTACTGTCTTATGATGATTTTTGGTACATGCAGACATGTAGTAGGAGACACCTTTTCCAAGTTCGCGTGAATCTAAAATCCCCGTAAACTTGATCTCACTGGGCTAATTTACATTATTAAAGATTAGACTATGGTGTTGCAAGTATCCACAGACTGGTAGCATCGGTTTGTTGAACTGTCTTGCTTGATTAGACATCATTAATGATTACTTGTAAAAGATCAAAATTGAAAAATCCTTTCCTGATATTGATCTCTGCAATTAATAGATCGAATTATTGTTGTCTGTTTTGATCTGATTCATTTAATTTACATTAGTACGCCCTCCGTCCCTCTACTTTTGCTAGTTTTATTTTTTGTACGGTCTTTTAGGTAGTATAATATTAATAGTTTTTTGACGAGTTTGCCATTACTTTTTGGTTGGAATTGTTCTATAAATTGTTTTTATTTTTTTTACCAGTTTGCTCTTACTTTAGTACTCCCTCCCTCCCATTACATTTGCTATTTTAAGATTTGGTACAGTTTTGTAGGTAGTAAACTTGATCTCACTGGGCTAATTTACATTAGTAAAGATTAGACTATGGTGTTGCAAGTATCCATGGACTGATAGCATCAGTTTGTTGAATTCTGGTGGTTTGCTTGGGGGTTTGGATTTTGAATTGGAATTCGAATAGTAAAAATTTTAAATTAAAATAGTTGTATGATGTGATATAAATAGGTGTTGATGTGATGCGATGTATGATGTCCAGTTATTATCACTTTTCCTCAATGACTGCATATATTGTTTTATAAACCTACTCTCGCCTTCCTTTTCTGCTTCTTAACTGTGATGTCTGAGATTTTTTTTTTTTATTAAAGTATCTCGGCATTATAGTGCAGATCAGCCTGCCATCCATTTTCCCTTTAGGTATTTTTGATATAATATTTAAGCGGCAGAACCTTTTCTATGTACGAGGGGTACCCTGTGCTACACTGGCTATAACACCGCAAGTATTTGTCTGTATTGTTGTAGTTACTAATACTATTTGGTCTTTTAGCTTAATCGACAGCTTAGCTAGTTATTTAAGTAGGTAATATCCCTCCATTGTTTGTCATACCTGAAGATGAGCACAACCCTTATAAATGAAGATTTCTTGTTTAGTTTTCTTCTGGAAATTGCTTCTGTGTTGATAATTGAGTTTTGTAATTATGCTTCCTTGTGGAAATGCCTGTGAAGGATCTCTCTTGAGATAAATTTGATGTGAAGTTCCTATTATTTGGCATTTGAACTAAATATTAGCTAGACTTTAATCAGTTTCCCATTATTGTATTAAATTCTTTTGTTTTAGTTGACTGGTTATCCATATCACGCAAGCCATTTGTACATTCATTTTTAAAATTATATAAGAAAATTGTTGTTTGATTGATGATATCGTACGCATATATAAGTGTACGATTACGTATCATAATCATTTTAAAGTTAGCCAGATGATCTTGGCCGAACATGCCCTTTGCATAGATGGATGTGATTTGCATCAATTGAATAAATGGTTGTTTGTCTCAAGTTTTATCTTATGCAAGGCATTTCTAAGTTTCACTATGAATATATAAATTAGATCATTTGGATACCATTCCACCTTCTAACGTTATGATTAAAGTTTACTTGCCAAAACTTAAATGTTTCCTTCCCTTCTATGATTCCTCCAGCAGTTCTACCAGTGGACCTATATTTTGCGGAAAGTCAGTACTGAAATCAACCGTCCCTTCTTATTGTCATGTTCACTTCCAGAAGGCTGAGAAACATATGATACGAGCACTGAAGAAGGGAGGTCTCAATATCTCCTCAACAAATAAACTCGCTCCCAAATTCCATGTCCTTATTGCTGAGTATGTCAATCAAATCCAACAGAAAAGAAGAGCAGCGGTGAGGGCCAATCTGGAAAATGCCGAAGTTAAAGAGTAAAAAAATTGTTGATATATGTTACTGTATGAATTCCTTGACCAAGTCGAGGCAAAGCTGCAGAGTGTACATCAAGAGATGAAACTTACTAGGATCTAAGTTATGTAGTATTATGTAGTAGATGCTGAGATGTTGTGCATATTAGAGGTACAATTTGTTGTTTGACTTATCCATGCACCCATTTATAATTTATAATTTTTAGTATCTCCTAAATGCCCAATGACAATGGTAATTTTTGATAATGTCACTTTGTGTGTGTATGTTGAGGAATTGTTTTGGGGGTTGGATTTGCCTTTTGGTTGCTACACCTAATTTTGATAATATATTGGGCAGGTGATTTGGCTTTAACTAACCAAAGATTTAATTTGGTGATGTTTTATGGTTAAAGCTGATTGTTCAAATATTAATATTATGTGTGTCAATGAATATCACATTACATCATAAATTTTGTATTATTTTTAAATTATAAAATTTTAAATAATTGTACCATCTTCAAAATCTAATACTCTTCCAGCTATAATATTTGGGTCTGGCACGAGGATTAAATAAAATAAATATTTTATTAAAAAATATTTTTAAAAATTTAATTAATAATTAAATAAAATAAAAAGAAAATATAATAAAATTAATGGTATTAATTATAATAAAAAGTAATAATTAAATATTAGTTTTTTTTTTTTTAACCTTTTCAAATATAATAATGGAATAAATTTAGGGGAGGGAGAGAACAATAAAGTTTTCAAAGTAGAAATTAAGTTGCAGAGTAGGATAAGTGGTACTTTTTGTTGAATTTATGTAGGGTTATGAGTTAATTTTGAAAAATATTAGAGATATGTCTGAATTGTGTAATAATTTGTTATGTTGTGTTGTCCATAATGATTTAAAAGGAAGATGTAGAAATAATGTTATGAAATTATAAAAAAGTCTTGAATTATTTTAAAGCTAAAAGAAAAAATAATTTTATATTATTGTGATAAGATATGGACATATTAACTTAGAAATCTTTAAGTAAAAATCATTACTTAAATAAATATATATATATATGATGATTGTGTTATGGTAAATAATATAAGTGCAATTTTTCAATATTCCTACCTCTAAAAAGTTCTTTTATATTTTTGCATACTTGCATGCGGATGTACAAAATTTTTTGAGTTTTCGTGAGCTAATAATAGGTATATTTTTATATATAATTGATCATATTTTTTTAATGTGAATTTTTTAATGGAGTAAATATAATGTTAATACAGTTTCAATTGAGAAATGTTGATTGGAAATCAAATTGATTATATAATCAAGTTTTGAAGAATTGATAATGGTATAAAAGTTTATAATGAATCGTTAGATTTTTTTGTATATTGTCTAGGTACAAAATAGTCCTTTATTCACTTCAATAAAATGGAACAAATGAATCACATCATATTGGATTTTTCGGGTTTGACCAAAATATTTTGAAAAAAATTATCTTAACAACCATATATTGAATAAATAGATCACCTCGATTATTTTTAAATAATAAATATCTTGAATATGCATAGTTAAAAAGGTTTGTTACTTATTAAATCTAAGGGTGTTTAGATATGTTATTTTTGCTCATATAAAATTTATAAGTTGGAACAAAGGGTTCAAAATTGCATATTTCTAAGATAACATGATGAAATTAAATGATATAGACTTTTGCTAAAAAATTACCTTGCACATTACATTTGTGTTTGTTTGGGGATTGGATTTTAAATCTACTATTCATTCCATTTTTTTCCCCCAAAAAAATCAAATCAAACACTTATTTTTTATTTTTTATATTAAACTAAAAATCAATTTTACATTCAAAACATCACCTCATACAACTATTCAAATTCAAAATTTTTATTATTCAAATTCCAATTCAAAATCTAAACCCCCAAACAAACACACTTTAATGAATTGTAAATGCCGTGTTCAAATAGATCAATGTTTGTTTATATTTCTAAAACAAAACATATTTCAAATAAAATTTTGATTATGTGCGATATGACGATGCTAAATGTTTTGAGATTGATTTTATTTGTGTTACAAAATTAAAATTAAAATTTGGTTATGTAGTTAGTCTAGAATACGTGGTCAAATATCTATTATATCTCGGGAAAATTGCAAAAAATGCTATGTAAGTCCAATAATTATTTGAGACATTGTTTTTTTTCACTTTCATATTTTAAGACCATAATATGTGTATTCTGGGCATGATTTTTGCTCTTCGGCGCCGAAAAAATGCACATGACCGTCATATGCGCCTTCGTGGCGTTGCCGGTGCAGACGTGGACGTCGCCGGTGTTGTGTTATCGGCTGCGTAGACTTCAGAGGGGTGACGTGGAATTTCACATTTTAAAAAAAAAAATTACTTTTAAAAATTCAATTTGACCTATTAGACTAAATTGAAAACAAAACCCTAGTAAATTACACTGTCATCCATCTCCCTGTGTGAATAATTTCGCCGTCTATTGGAATTCATAGGTATGTCCAAAAATCGAGATGAACCTGTAATATCAATCCTCTCCGAATTAGAGTCCGGAAATAAAAAAAAAACGAGGAAACTTCCTTGGACAAAGTTGGGTCCAACTCCGAGCCCAAATATATTCAAACCGACAAAAGTCTGCACCATCGGCGCCGGTAAAAGCCCAGTCTTTGTCGTCCTCGAGGCCCTAGGTACAACAGGTGAAGCAGTCGCCCCTTCCTCTGACGAGGACTCCGGACCGGATACCGAGTCAAATTCTGATGGGTCGAAAAATAAAGTCTAGTCTGTAGCATCCAAGTATGTGAATGATCTGTCTGTAACCGATTCAAGTGCTAGGGTTTTATTTCAATTTGACCCAAATTGGACCAAATTGCAAATATGTTATTTGGAATTTGATCTAATCGGACTAAAATGAATTTTTAAAAACAAAATAATAATTTTTAAAAAATTAATTTGAAATTTCACATCACTCATCCGACATCAACGCATGCGATAATACAATGCAGGCCACATCACGAAAGCGCACATAACTGTCACATGCGTCTTTTTGGCACTTGAGAGCAAAAATAATGTCTATAGTACATATATTGTCATAAAATATAAAAGTGAAAAAAAAATATATCAAAAATGATAATTGGATTACATACAATACATTTTTTACAATTTTTCTATGTTTAATGAAAATGGTATTGTTGAAACTAAATATGAAGAATATGACCTTTTAAAATTAAATGATAAACAACTTTCTAGTTAGGGATAGACCTATAAGAAATATATAACAATTATCGAGAGTAAATAATTATGATTTAATTTTATAATAAGTATTTATATTAAATACATCGAGATACCGAGTCTAAGTCATTTGATGAAATAATTAAACCAAGACTTAAGCAAAGAATGATTTATTGCAATATAGAAGCAATTGTAAGTTTATTTTTTTACAATAAAATCATTGGATTGTTTCATAAAAATATGTTCAAATGAACTATTGTGTGAAATTATTGTTTTTACACATAATTGTTTATGAAAAAAAAAAATTATAATTCATATCCTTATTTCAGTGAAACTCTTTGTAATCAAATTAAATTAGAATATAATACATTATTTATTATTATTATTATTTACTTTTAAATCAATTAAAGAACATTTTCTTTAATTAAAAAAAAATCAATTCATTGTTTATGACAATTACCTATATAGTAAAATTTAAATTTGATGAATATATGAAATCTACAAAATTATTTTTTTTAAAAAAAAAAAAAAAAAGAAAGAAAATCAAATTGATCATTGTTGTTATTTTTTAAATAGTTAAATTCTTGTTTTTCTTATTAATCTATATGGATTATATATTGTTCATCTAACTTCAAGATCATAGTCTAAATTAATAAGTATTTTAAGTGATCATTTTGATATAAATTTTGATATAAATATTCTCAGTGATGCTAAAGCGATTTTTTGTATAAATATTGAAATCGATAGAGTTTAATTTACATTATTTTTATGTCAACTATCTTATGTTGAAAATGATGAAAGTATTTTTTATGAATTATTTCAATATTAAGGCACTAGCGTAGATTTCTTAAATTGATTACATTGATAATGATATTGTAAAATATTTTGATAATCAAATTAGGATATAGTTGTCTAAAATTCACATTTATTTCATTATATAACAAAATAAATTGATGTTAAATTTTATTTTATATGAGATATTGTTAGCAAATAATCTTACTCCCTTCATCCCACTTATTTTGTTTCATCTTTTTATTTTTGTCTATCCCACATAATTTGTTATTTTCTTTTTTGAAATATAATTATACACTTTAATCCCATTTTAAAATTCACGATTAATATTTTTATTTTAATTAAACTATTTAGTCATTTTAATCATAATCTATAATTACTTTTATTAAATCATAATTAACTTTACTAATACATCTCTTAATTATTTACTAATTACACAATACCTAAAACTTTGTGCCTAAACTAAAGTGGGCAAATTAAGTGAGACAGGGGAAATATAAAACTAGAAAAAACACCTTATTAGTTTAACCCCATTGATATAGGTATTTTTCTTTAGTACTTTCCGTGCTATTAATTAAATAAATTGTTGTATGTATCAAGTTTTATCTGATGCAAGACATTTCTAAGTTTCACTAAGAATATATAAATTAGAACATTGGGAAAATCATTCCACCTTCTAAAACTATGATTAAAGTTTACTTATTGAAAGTTCTTTTATGAACTTCA